AAGAAAAAAAAAAAAAAAAAAGAAGAAGAAGAATAAGAATAAGAAGAAGAAGAAGAAGATATATTTGATCGTAAAGCAAAGTAGTCTTGGTATCTATTTAATGTAAAAGTACCGCTCGATAAGAGGAACTTGAGAAAGAAGAACTAACGTCAGTTGGCATGCTTTAGAACTAAATGGAGCTTCGAAGACTATGACTATGATTATGACTATGACTACGATCATGACAACTAAGACGACGACGACGACGACAACACCAAACGACAATGACGACGATCTTTGAAAAGACAAGGAAAGTAGACGACGACGACGACGACGACGACGATGCTCTAACAAGTGGCTGTAGACTAACGATCGGTTCTGTCTACCTACTACTTCTTCACCCCTTTTATAATACCCCCTTTTTTATCCCTATCCTAAATGCAAGGAGACTTAACTGTTAAGTATTAGAGAGTACAACACTATATATTTATATATATATATATATAGATATGTATATATGTATGTGAATATATGTGTAAAAATATCTACTAATTTAACTGTTAAGTTTTAGAGAGTACAACCCTATATATTTATGTATGTGAATATATGTGTAAAAATATCTACTAACTTAACTGTTAAGTATTAGAGAGTACAACCCTATATTTTTATATATATATATGTAGATATGTATGTGAATATGCATGTAAAAATATCTACTAATTTATCTGTTAAATATTAGAGAGTACAACCCTATATATTTATATATATATAGATATGTATGTATATATGTGAATATGCGTGTAAAAATATCCACGCACGCGATATTCGCGTTAAAGCCCTCAAACGTTCTTTTTTTCTTTTCTTATTTTCTTTTTTTATTCTTAAAGGGATTGATCATGTTTAAGATTTCGCGATTAAAAATAAATCATAAGGAGAATGTGATAACTGTGTTCGTTGAAAAAGTGCATAAGATGATTCTGACTTCTTATTCTTCTTCTTCTTTATTTTCCTTTTCACATATGTAAATTTATCGAGAGTATCTTTTTTTGTTTAAATATTAAATCTTCGAATACACGTTCTATTTCTTTCTCTCTCTCTAAAAAAAGATCAATAAGATTCAAAGTGTAGTGATTAAATAGAAAATGTAATTATGAGAAAATAACTGTAGAAAAAAAAGAATATATTCTTTAAAGAAAGTGAAATAAAATTAATCCATATATATACATATATGAAATAAATCTTGATACGTTATATTTCTCTTTCTATCTTTTAAAAAAAAATGGATACAATTCCAGGTGTCATGGTTTAAAAAAAACAAGAAGATATTTTAAGAAATATAATAATGAGAATGGTTTTGCGATAAAACGCACAAATCTGATTCCAACATTGTACGTATACGTATAAAAGCTCTCTTTTATTTTTTTTCCACAAAAAGTAGAATTAAATTAATCCTGAAATGAAATAAATCTTGAGTAATCATTCTCTTTCTCTTTCTCTCTCTCTCGACCTTTAAAAGTGATTAGTAAAATTTAAAATACCACGATGAAAAAAATAATGAACATGACTATGAGAAAGTACACGAGCCAATTTCTATTGTATATGTATATGTATATATGTGTGTATAAATGTTCATGTGTAAAAGCTATTTTTTAAAAGAAACTTAAACGAAATGAATCCTCTGTTAAGTTATAATATATAACTTTCAAGTCAAGTATAGTTTTAAATTTATTTCCATACATATATTGTTCTCATTTTAAAAATCACATTTCGTTTGTTCGTTTAAAAAAAATGAATGATTAGTTCATATAATAAAAGGTTCACTTATTCTCCCCCCCCCTCCCCAAATATATGTTATACTGAGTATAGTATTATGCCATTATATACCATGTTATATATGATACGTTAGTATTAAATACGAAACAAGTTAAATTACATAGGCAAAGTTTTGTTATAGTACTAGGGTTATAAGTTAGACCTATCAAAGTAAATTACAAAAAATAATAAACATTATAAATAGTAACACAAACGTTGAGAGAACATATTAAAAGTATTGATTGAAATAAAAATGACCAATCAAATTAATGTTTTCTTCTTTTTGGTTTTGTTTTCCTTCTTCTTTCTATTACTCATTATCATTCGTATTGACTTTTCGATAGAACGTTTCTATTTTCGTTTGGAAATCAACAAATTTGATAGAAAAAAAATACGTTCCCATCTATTAAAGTTTGAACACGTCTAAGGTTTTGTGTGTTTTTTTTTATTTTATTTTTTCGAAGAATAAATTCGAAATCACAGACGATATTCGAAGTTTAAGAAGATCGTAAAAAGAGATTTCTAAAGTCATCGAAATTTTCGTTGAATAAGAGCTTTCTCTCCTTTTTTTTATTTCTTTCTTTCTTTCTCTCTCTCTTTCTATTTCTTCCGCGAATTTTAATGGAGAGAGCTTTATCGAAAAGTTCGATCGCATTCTTTTCCAAAGACGACGATTTTAAAAGGAAGCTGACCTCAAACTAGAATTTTCTTCTATTCCTTTGAAAAAAGATTTCTTTTTACGTTTAATGGTCTCCAGAGAATGATAGAAAGAGAGAAAGAAATAAAATTTTATGGAATCATTTCAATGTTTTAAGAATAATAATTCAAAGCGCGTTGGATATAAAATCTTGTAAATCAAGCATAAAAAAATATCTTAAATTGAAGAAGGACTTTTTGTCTAAAAAAAAAAACGAGATATAATTTATCGTAAAATTTGAATTAGAATTTTTCTATTATTTGTGTTCTCTTCCTAAATCAGAGAATTGCAAATGATCTTTTTCTTGGAAGTTATTATCTCGAAAGAATTTTTGTTTGTAACGACGAAACATAGCGTGTTCCAAGTTCCTTTAGCGTTTCTTTAACATGCAACTTTATCGATAATTCATGAAACGATAAAAGCATAGTGTTGGCACTTTTTAACAATTCATACGTACAACTAACTTTTTCCATCTACCAATTTTCGCGATACTTTTTTCCAAATAATATTATTCTCAATGATTTAACTGTCTTAGAAAAAAAGAAAAAAGAAAAGAAAAATGTTTTCGTATAAAAATATTTGCATAGAAAATTTTCTATGATAAAACGAATCATATTTCACACAAATCCCATCCAAAATTTTCCCATGAATTTATACTTTGCGAGTAAAAAAAAACACACACACACACAAACGACGTAATTATTCTCTTATACTCTAACGTGAAGTAACAAAAAATATAAAAATATATCCTTGGTTCGTACATTAAAGCGTTAGAAAACTCGTAAATAATGAATAACACTTGAGTTTAACTACTACTAAACTGACGAACAAAGTGTTTCGAAACAAACAAGAGCACTAAAATGGATTCATTTATGAGAAGAAGAATAATAATAATTCGGAAGTAACGAGACTTTTTCCATGAGGGGAAGAAAAGGAAAAGATCGAAGAAACAAAGACCATTTCCAAAATTCGCGGGGAATGATGCTGATGGTGTCACGTGACTTGAAATAAACCAATGAAAGAGAGAAAACACGCGAAAGAGGGCGCGCGTAGTACGAACGAAGCACATGCCGGCCCACGACGAGCTGTCAAATACATACATATACACACACACACGCATATATATGTATATACCTTCTCTTCGATTATCCACTCTTCACGAGTCCACGATAAACAAGAAAAATATTCAATAATATCCCTTAATTTTCCATACGTGGCACGTAATATTAAATCACAATATGAATATTTTCGTTCGATTTCCATTTGATAATAATTAAAAGAAAAAATATTCAGATATTATATACGATTCGTAGGTTAATACTTCGTAGTTTTTAATCCAACACCGATGTGTCTGTCTGTCCATCTGTCTGTCTATCTATCTGTCTCTCTCACTCACTCTCTATCTACTTTTATTTCCCCGTAGTTCACCCTCACCCTCACCCTTAACAAATACACAAACACACACATAAACGAACACGCTCGAGCACACACACACATACACACACATAACACGTATCGTATACATGTGTATATAATCTAAAAGAGAAACGTAGAACCCCCCCGAAAACGTATAGTATGTAATACACGTGTGTGATATACATATACGTACACCCACACACACACACACACGTATTTATAAACACATATAAAGAAAGATACAGTATATCAAATATATATAATAAAAAGAGTGTGTGAGTGTGTGAAAGAGAGAGAGAGAGAGTGAGATAAACGCGCGGGCGCATTCGGTAAAGTCCAGCATCTACAAAGAGAGAGAGAGAGAGAGAGAGAGAGAGAGAGAAAAAGAGAGAGAGAGAGACGTGCGCACGTCTTCTTCTTCTTCTTCTTCTTCTTCTTCTTCTTCTTCTTTTTCTTCTTTTTCTTGAGTGTCTAGCCTAGCTAGTGTTGACGGTTTCGAGCGCGCACAATGATCGACGTCGATTTGGGCAGATCGATCGAAAGCTGTGAAAATATTTACGATCTGGTTCCTACAATTTTCAATTCCTATCACGAAGAAGAATCGAATTCAAAATATATATATATATATATAAAAAAAACACACACACATTATAAAAGAAAGAATAGAAGATATATAACCAAAAAAAAAAGACATATATATGCACACACGACGTGTATATACATAATAACAAGGAGGATTAAAGAGGGACGACAATGACGACACACACGATGTGGCCTTAACCTCATCAAGCTCGAAATGAACGACACGCACACATAGAGCTTTTCATATATATATATGTATATACAATATATACTATATATTTGATACGTTGAGATAGCTCCCTCTTTCTCTCTTGTCTTCTCTCTTTCTATTTCTCACTCTTTCTCTCTCTCTCTCTCTCTCTCCTTCTCTCTCTCTCTCTCTCTCTTTCTTTCTTCAATATATAAAAGATTAAAATTGTTGGTCGAAAAATACTTGGAATGTGTACATATATACATATACATATACATACATGCATGTTATATCGTTCTCTCGCATCAACTCGATCGTCCTTACCTGCTTCACTAGTGGGAGTAGTGTCTGTTCTATGCTACGGGTCTTAATCTCTAGGGTGGCTGGATCTACGGGGTCGGGTGTCGCCATGATTCGAACACAACTCCGGCGCTCCGTACATTCGAGCCACGGCGAGAGGGTTCGTTGCTCCACCACCACCCCGCGCACACCTCCTACCAACTATATTCCACTCTCTCCCCCTCTCTCACTCTCTCTCTCTCTGTATACTACTACCTTCCACTTCTCTCTCACTCTATCTCACTCTCACTCCCCCACAACCCMCCTCCACCGCCTCTTTCACTCACACACTCTCTCTCTCTCTCTCTCTCTCTCTCTATCACTCTCTCTCTTTCTTTCTTTCTCTTTGGTTCTCTCGCTCTCTCTCTCTCTCTTTCAAACACGATAGAATGGCGCGCGCGCGCGCGCCGTATCGCTACCGGAGCGACGCCGCCCGCCGAGACGGCGACGCCCGAGCAACTATTCGCTATTCCGACCGAATTATATTCCCCGGTGTAACCCCCCTCGCCCTCCAACTCCACCAGCCAATCCTGCCGTCGCGACGCCGGCTCCCTCCGCTCTACCGCAACGCCATCTGCCAATATTATAGAATACTCTTTTCGTATATCCCCTGTCGGTAACTCATAGGATTTATTTTAAACTATAAACGAACCGCAGGAACTCTGGCAAGGAATTTTAACAGCTGAAAAAAATGAATAAGTGCTCTTAATTGCACATTATTTGTTTGTCCGTTTTTCTCCAGTTTTTCTGGTTCCAATATGATATCGGTTTTTTTTTTAATCTAGTAAGTCTTTTTCCTGTGTGTGCTGTGTGTGTACTTGTTCCAAAGTTCTTTAATTAATAATTAAAAGAAAATATCTATATTTGATTTCTAATTGTTGTTTGTTTATAAATGTATATAGAATTAAATTGCACATTCATTTTATCTACACTACCTGCATTTAAAAGTTACTAGGAAATAAGAAAGTTTAAAATATATTGAATTTCTAGTAACATAGGTAAGCCGATATCGGTAATAGTAGTACTCTTCTGATGGTAAGTTATCATCCGATTTCGGTCGGTAATTCTGATGGTGAGCTATCATCAGATCTCAATCGGTAATTTTGATAACAAAATATATGTGTGATTCTTGTAACAAAATAATTATTTTTATTGTTGTATCACATATTGATATTGAATATCAAAAACTATAGTATTACACGAGTACGGTGGAATAATGGAATGATAGGATTTGATATTCTATAAAAAGAAACCAGAGAAAGAGAAAAGTTTTAATATACCATACAATAGTTTTATACAGGTGTCTTTATTGTTTTCTAAAAAATAATTTCCACATTTATTTCTTAAATCTTTAATGATTTACTTGTTATATTATCAACGCAAAAATATCTGTGAAAATTGTTCTCTTTTTTATCGTATTATGCTGCTGATAAGAAAATGTTCGCGCGTGTTGATGAAAACAATAGCGAAAACAATAATATATTATAATTAACTTCAACAACCTGTAATAATTAATCTTTTGTTAAATGTTCTTATTCTTTTCTTAATTTTTTAAAGATCAAACTGTCATGGAAAGCAAAAGGGAGGACAATTCTTTCACACTCTACGAACATGAACTATTATTATCGAAATATATAACTGTCGAATATAACTAATCCTAAGTAATAATAATAATAATAATAATAAAAATAATAATAATAATAATAATAATAATAATAATAATAATTAATAGGTAAAGCTAAAACAATGACTAGTCCTAAATTCGGTCTATAACTATTAAAACACGCGTATCTCGTATAGATAATATCCAACGATTATCGATTTTCGATGATATTATTTTTCTTTCTTTCTATTTTTTTTTTGCTTTTATCGCATGGTACTTTGTAGCTCGAAACGTATTCATTTAAAAAAAAAAAAGAGAAAAAAACTCTAGTGTCTACGATTAAACAACTAAATTTATAATAACATTTTCAACATTAATTAACGTTCTCTCGACAAAAATATTCTACAACAATTCAACGGTACCTAGACACACAATTGATATTTCGAACTATCGGAAATCATTGATCATGTGATAATCAAAATATAAAAACAAAAAATAAAGTGAGAGATAAAAGAGAAAAAAAATAAACAGAAATTATTTTCAACTCAACCAACCCTTTCTCCAAAATCAATCATATTCATTTTTTAACATTAACAACAATTTTATTCTGATCAGGTGCTAAAGGAGCTTTTCTTTTAACGTGTTTTTCCGGAATAATTTTATCTTTACTGATAGCAGCTACATTGTTACAAGCAATCCCGCCACCCTTTCTCTTTCTCAACGATTCGGTTGGAAGATATTCAGCTGGTCTCAATAGCTGTCTGAAATTGTACGGTCCATTAATGTCCTCAGCATCGTATTCAACTCGACGATTCTCTTGTCGTTTTTCCACAACAGTGGGTCTCAACAAATGTCTAACATCTACCGGAACACCGAAACCATTTTTCCACAAATCCTTACGTAATAAAATCTTTCCGTTCATAGCATTTTGATTAACCACGAAACAACGATCCAGACCACCATTATTTTTCGCCTGATTATTATTATTGTTGTTGTTGTTATTATTTATATTATTCATATTTTTATGATTTTTATTATTATTATTATTATTAATATTATTATTATTATTAATATTAATTCCCTCCTTCTCACGATTATTTTTCATCCCAATAAATCCATTTTGTTTCGTTTCACTGACACGATACAATATTTGTCTATCGTTGATGTTATTCTTCAAACCGTTGGTAATCTTCAAAGCATTCAAACCTTTTCTCTGATCGATTTTTCCATTGTTACCGAAACGTTGCCAGTGCTGCAACAACCCATTGCAATATCCATTTATGAAATTCTGTCTTCGATTTCCATCCCCGTATTTATCGTTAGCTACTCGTGTTTGTACGCCATTTGAATCGTTGAAACGCGAAGAGTCGACTGCAAGCGGTCTACCGTACGGATTGCACGTTCTAATCCGCACGTTGTTCCCATGCAATTCATTAGTCCTTGTACTGAAAGCATGAATAATGTTTAAGGTTTTACCTAACGTGTATTATTTCGATCGTTGAATTTACATAAACGAATGATAAGATACTTGTTCTATTGATTTAGTTTATCTACTACACATATTAAACGACACATATATATTTATATGTATATATATAAATATTCAAATCATTATAAACAGAAAATGTGATGATAATGTGTAATATATCATTCTAAATGAACGACAAACGATGATCTCTACTGATGTTTTAATTTATTTTTATTTTACCTGGAAGTTTGCCATGATACCTCTGATAATGAATAAAAGATATAAAACGGATATTATTAGTTGAATCAAATTAAACGATAATTAGATTTCGAGAGATCTAACGAGAGTTCAGAAGACATTTCGGTCAACAACAACAAAATAATTATTTATTTAAACGTACACACCAAAACAAAACAAAATTAATCGATTAAAAAATATAAGTAGAAAAATTGAAACACATTATTATCTTAACATAAAATCGAATCTGGAAAAGATATACTTTATAAATATAAATAATACCTGATGGATTTTGCAGAATCGTCGTTTTTTTCTGACTCGGCCGGATTCCTCAAAGCTTTGTGCCAAATTTCGGAAAGATGTTGTTCCGGTGCTACCACAAAGTCGCCTTGAGCTGCCAAACGTTCCATCCTCTCGGCACTCACTTCCAGAATCTGACCCGTTCGACTCCTATTTGCCAAAGAAAGACAATTCATTAAATTATCCTTTTGTAATTGAAGCCTGTGCCAAATTTAATCCTACACATGTATTGTATGCAAGAAGACTACTCATTTAAATGACACAAAATATGGATTTTATTCTGAAAAGCATCCAAATATTCGATTCAAATCAAAACTACACAAATTTTATACATACATACTGTACACACATCTATATATATTTAATAGAAATATCTATTATATCTACTGTACACATCTATGCAAATATGTATTTGGAATATATACAAAGTGTTCCGCAAGTAGGTTCATCAAACAAGTATACATGTGTTTTCTTTTTTGCTAATAATTTAAATAAAGATACTATAAGCCTATACTTTTGATTTATTTTACATATTACTTTACGATATTATTTGATTTTGTTTTTTTTTCTTGGCTAAACGATTGTCCAGGCACCCTATATATATTTTTTTACTACGTGGAATTTTTGGCAAAAACCAAGGACACTATCTTCTTAAATTGATCAATAAAAAAATTATATATATACAAACATATTTAATAGAAATACTTATATAGAATATATTTGGCAAGAAACGAATACGATATTTCTTGTTAAAATTATTTCACGAAAAAAGAAAAGAAAAAATATAAACTACCAAACGTGGATTGAATTCACGCTCGATCGAGCAAGCGTAAAAAATGAATGCACACATAAATATTATTAATGAGATGCACAACTGTTCGTACAAAATTTGGCCAGGATCCAAACGATTCTTTGAAACGATATACCCAGGTTATATATTTCTACGGTTATTAACTTTAATGGCTCTATATTTTGAAAGATTCTTTTAGAGAACATAAAAAAAAAAAAAAAGACCTATCGCGCACAACAGCCCGTTTAAAAAGCTTTAACATTGTTTCCGTGTAAAAATTTGCAAGGGAAATGAAATAAAGTAAAAGGAAAAGAAATAGCCGTAAAAGTTTCTCATAATGGTATATAAAATTGTTTGAAATTTTGTAACTCAACGCGAGGAATATAATTTATTTTAAAATGAATTATGGGATGTATATATTATGTATATCAGGAGTGATATTTTGCATTTGATGTGTTATCATTTATAATTTCTCAATTTAATTCGAAATAAATAAATAATGTAATATTTATCATTCAATTTTTCGGATATTTATTTTAATAAATGTGTTATTAAATCAATTTTCATAAATATCTATCAAAATATTTACCAATATGAAATATATTTGTGTATCTGATTAGAAAATTACTCCTAATATATATAATTTGTATGCAAAAATTTTTTTTCTATACATTTGCATTTCATGCAAGTCTTCAAATAAGCCTAAATAACGAGCACATTAATGTACATATAAATATGAATTTAAAAGGAAAAAGGTGGGAGGGGGGGGGGGAGAGGGACACTTGTTTATCGATGATAGGTGAGAAAAATTAGGACAAAATACGAGTAGGGGGAGGGGGTTAGGTACCTCGCTGAAGGATGAAGGTCATTTTCTAGCTGTATCAACGGTGAGTCCCAGCCAACTTCGTCTTCTTCGAAGTCCGAACCACTTCCGATGCGAGTGCCAAAAGCATTTAAAAAATTGAACGATCGAATTTCCGATTCCAGTCGTAATTAAAGAAATATTTATATCATCTTATCTCTATCGTTACTTAGAAAAAAAAAAGAAAACAATCGTTATATTATTTACCTGCTCATTTCTTCTTTCAATTCACGATAATATTTAACGGTCTCTTCGTTTTCCGGTTGTATACCACTTCGATATTGCAAAATTGGTTGGACCATGTTAAATCCTTCAGGACGTACGTAATCCGTTGGTGGTTCTTCGATGTCATTTAATCGGACACTCGGTTTGTTACGTCGAAGATTCTTATGTATTTCTTGATTCTTCATGTGTACCTGTTTTACATTATTATTATTTTTAATTAACTCGTGCATTTTATATTTATACGTATATATAATTTTATATTAAAAATATATATATTATTTTAATAATAAATAAAAATTAAAATATTAATATACAATATATATAATGAACAGTACAATTTCTATATAACACCTTTTGTGAAGATAAATTGTAATAAATTATATTAGAACACAAATGTTTCAATAATTTTAAATGGAAGTCAAATATAGGAAACATGTTTATATAAAACTTTTTTCCTCTGTTCATTTCTATATTTATTTCAATATATATTATGTACGATTTTTGAAAACATACGTTTTGAGAAAATTGAATGAGATCAGCTTGTCTCAATTTAGGATGAATCGGATCTTTCATAGGTGGTGTTATATGTACTTTTTCCTCTTTCTTGTACCATCTTTGTACGATAAATGCAACATCCTCTTCTTTAACACCTTCATCGATTAATGCTTTAATCGCGTCCTCTTGATTCTCGCAATTATTTAAAATTTTCTTGAAACGTTCTTCTGATTCGACACCAAAACGTTTGCGAACAGAATAACCTCTGAAATCTGTAATATAAAATGATTATAATCACAAATTGAATTATTTAATATAACATACAATTTATTTTCATTCATTCGTTATAAATTTATTTAATTATTCTCAATTGATAATAATTAACAACATTTCTTACGACTTTGTATAATAACAGCAGCGTCGTTCTCCTTCGAGTTTTCCGAATGAAAAATTTCATTTTCATCATCATTCCTAACCATTTCTGCTCTTGATTCTCTACGCAATACCAAAGTTTTATCATCTGAAACAAATGATCATGTTTAATTGATAATCTCTATAAAAATGAATCGTCGCAACCCCATTGCACCATCATGGAAAATCATTTAAATTAAGGATTGTACATTTTTTGCTTTTTTAATATTAAACAATGGAACAAACATTATTATTTATAAAAAATTTTTAACATGAAAAAGTATATTTATTGAAGATAATTATATTAAAATGCAAAAACTAATATTTCCAAATATAAAACATTGTTTTGTTTTGCACACAAAATTATAATAATCATCCGTTTCAACGATAACAGTATTGCAATTATTTAATTCAGAACTTTTACTGATATTTAGCAGAATTATGTCAAACGATAGAGTGTTAATTGTGCGACATGAATTTAATTACGTGTAACAAAACAAGAACAATTAATTATTAGTTACTAACTTTGAGCCCTTTCCAAGATGGTAGCCTCCTCTTCTTCTTCACGTTTCTTTAACATTTCCTTTTCAACGTGTTTACGTGTTAGCCAACCTCTGATATGTCGTTGAAGTGTTACAACAGAAATAGCAAACTGCCATTTTTGTTTGTTGAATCGAATTTTTGCTAACCATCTACGTACGCAAGCTTGAACCATAATGATCTTCTTCAATTGTTCTTCATACATTTTAGATAAAAATTCAACGTGATAATATTTTAAAAATACTTTTGTCTTGCCCAAAGCCCAACCATCCATCTTTAAACGTATCAACAATAATCTACAATTGTCACGATTGGCTACAACTCGTTCGTCGTAACCAAACGCAAGGAAACAGTATCTAAATTTATATACAAAACAAAACAAAATGATCAATTTATTGTATATATTAGAATTTTAATAAAAATAAAAAACAATCAAGAGTTACCTTTTCAAAAATTCGTTGAAAGGTATTCTATGGGAGAAACCACTTTGTCTAATACGAATGGTCTCCAAAACCCCAGTATATCTCAATTGTTTAACAACCTTTTCCTTGTCAAAGAAACGGGGACTTTTCGAATCATTTGGTTTGATACATCTGACAAATTGGGGAGAACCCGAGACCATTTTTTGTAGCAAATCCATCAACGAATAACGGAAATAAGTTGCTACTGTTTGCTGAGCTCTAGATTGTGATGCTAAACCACGACTCGAGTAACGTTCCTGAAACAATTAATAGAATAATGTTAAAATAATAAATAAGATCAACGTGAAAATAGAGAAAATGTTTGTCCGAAAATAAATAAAAAAATGTATAACTATGAGAAAAGAATTAATTTTATCGTATGAAAAGAGATAATTCATGAAATTTTCGCTCTTACTTTTGTATTTTGGTTAAATTGCGACAACTTTCTCGAGTCTGTTTCATGGACGGCCGAGTAGAGGTTACCGGTCTTGGTGATCGGACACTGGAACAGGAAGCGGACCATATCGAACTGAGATTGTCGTACCAGTTGGATTACTTCAGGAGGCAGGAAGTTTCTATTTTTCTCGAGGAATCCTTCGGCTTGGTAAACTACACGTCCAGCGAAATGATGAACCGCGAAACAAACTGCGTCGGATTTTGGTCTCACGTAGAATTTAGATTTGATGTTGTTGTGAAATTTTTCTGTTAATATTAAACGATAAAATAATAAACACTGATTTAAGTTAAATATTAAAATAATTTAAAAAAAAAAAGGATTATTTTATATATATATATATCAGTATTGTTACCTATCAATGATCTATTTGTTGCCCGTGGGAAACGACTTTCTTCGTCCAGGAGTGCCAACAAACCCATTGGTTTGCTCAATAACATATCTAAAACCGGTCGGTTATCTGAAAACTCAACTAGATCAACCGGTATACCTTCTGCCATATATTCCTGTTGTTCCCAAGTGAATATATGCTGATTGAAATAATATTGTATCTGTTCGTTGGCTATATTTATGCAAAGTTGTTCGAACGAATTACGTGGGAAATTCTCGAAACCAAATATATCCAATAAACCAATAGCCAATGGTTCGTAATTGGGTGAACGATTGAAACACAACAGGCAATTTATTTGATTGACCATCCAATCAAATAGTCTACCGTAAAGTCCTTTAGCCATGGCATCTCGTGCTGCACAGGCTTCGGTTACTGTATTGTTTCTTGTTATCGTTTCACCTCTCGTCATGACTGAGTTTGATGTTAATGCCTCTAATAAATCATTCGGTTCGACACCCAGCAATTTCGAAACTATAGATAAATCGGTTAACATAAATTATATATATTATTTGCAATAGTATTATTATCATAAATATACGATTCCCAATAGGGAAGGATAATATAGAAAGTTTACCTCTATCCAAAGGAGCAGTATCGATAACTCTACTCTTGTTATCCGTATTATCTTCACTGGGAACTTCAGCAAATTCGATATCCCCTAAATGAAGTATAGCTGCCAATACACCATAAACCGTATCCACTTCGCTATCACGAAAACCTAATACCTTGAAGCCAACTTTCAATTGTTGAAACTTATCAACGTTATTTTGAGAGTGATGACTGCGGTCCATGAGATATCGATGATGTTCACGTAAACTGTGATCCAAATAAAATTCTCCTAAACGATCGTCGGCCGCTAAACCGTCGTACATGTAATAAAATACATGGAAATTTCGTTCCCCTCTGAAAACGTAACGCCAATAAATTGAATTTTTAACGCATTACTATTGAAATGAAATAATAATAATATTATAATAATGAAAATTAACTTACTCGGCTTGAGCAACCACTCGCGATTGTTCCAAAAGATAAACTGAGATTCTTGCACCAGTGACCTTGCCACCTTTAGTCATAGTAAGATCCAAATATTTTCCAAATCTAGATGAATTAGCATTGATACCAGTAGTTGCGTTCCCAAAAGCTTCCATAATCGGATTTATCTGTAAAATTCTTTCCTCCAAATTACGATTAGGTGCTTTACTGAGATAAACCAATTGTTTTAACAACAAATTGGCACTCTCTGTTTTGCCAGCTCCCGATTCGCCGCTTATCACGATTGCTTGATTTTGACGTTGATGAAGGAGCGCTTGATAAGCTGCATCGGCAACGGCAAAAATGTGAGGTGGATTATCTGACCTAGCTTGACCCTTATATCTTCTTTGTTCCTGAACAATGAGAAAAAAAAAATATATACATATATATAAACAAGAAAGTAACATCAAGATTTCACAAATAATTAATATTAAAAATGATTAAACCTAAAAAAAAAAAAAACTTACGATTCCAGTATAGAGACCCAAATTGGTAAAGGGATTAACGGCAACAAGAATATCACCGATGTAAGTGTAAATCTGTCCCTGTTCGTAACGGTGTTGTAATTGTTCAACAATGGCATCTTCGGATAACATATCCAGTGCCGCCAAATCATCCATATACATTTTTTCTGGCCTTGCTTTACGATCTGTCTTTAATTTACCATGTTTCGTTGTAACTTCGGGTTGCCTTTGAACTCTACCATCGGTCCTTTGTCTACGAATTTCGGCAGAAAGTTCTTCCCTTATTTCATCCAATTGATTTTCGATATTGGTCAACAAAGGATGTTCCTTAAGTTCGCTAGCAAATGGTCGATGTTCGAGATCCTTAACCAGACATTCAGCAATGAAATCTAAAAGTTCTGGATTATGTATATCAGGATTTTTCAAAGATGGCGGCGGATTTCTAGGTATTTGAAAGAGAGCTCTCATTGGATGAAGTTCCGATAGTGGTGGATCACCCTCGGCCAATTCGATCGCCGTTATTCCAACCGACCAAACATCACATCGCGAATCATACGAGGAATCCAATTGTTGTTCGCAAGCAATCACCTGATTAAATAAGAAAATTCTTTATCCGTTAGTTTTCATTTTAATTAACTATATTATCATCTAAATAAATTGGAATTATAAATACCAGAAACAAAAATTCTTTCGATAATATAATAATAAATAAATATATATACCTCGGGTGCCATCCAATAAGGTGTTCCAACAGAAGTGTTTTTCCTTGCTAAGGTCTCAGCTAAATGCGAGGAAACCCCAAAATCTACGAGCTTAACTCGGGCCTCTTCCGTTAACAAAATATTATGACCTTTGACATCCCTATGCATGCAATGATTACCATGAAGATAAATCAAAGCTTCGACGGTTTCACGAAGTAAATATGCTATCTGTCTATCCGTTAGACGTACAGCACGTTTTTTTAGACCCTGTACGAGATCGGTCACCGAGCCTCCTGTGCATAACTGGAACAAGATTCATTAACTTTTCACGCGGTTTGCCTTTTAACGTAAATCACACATACATTTCTTCCCCCTCCTATGCATATAATTATTACAGATTAAATTATATACTTTGTATATAAAAGAAAATTTATTATTATCGTGTCGAGAATATTCAACCAACGTTGATTATATTTAACTACATAGTCTTATGCGTTTCTTCGAAAGTAAACTCTGATTTTATTCTACAATAGAGACAAAAAAAGAAAATTTATCCTAAACTCTAATTACTTTTTTATTATTATTCATCTGTTTTAAATGTGCACGATAATAGCGAACGTAGTTGGAACAGAAAAAAAAAAAAAAAAGAAAATATATTTATGCGAGATAAGACGCTGCCGATTCGTTTTTAAAACGCATTTTTTAACTTTCGTTACTAATTAATTAAGATGATAGAATAAATTATAAATGAAACAAAATGTATTACCAACCTCCATTACGAACCATAATTGATCCTCCTCTTGGGCTGGTTTTGCTCTTTTCAAAAATAATCCATGAAATATTGGTATATTAGGATGCAAACTTAAATCACGTAATACGAGATATTCTTCCTCGATTTCTTCTATATTGTCGGCTACATTTTCAAGTATCTTTATTGCTACTTTATTGTCAGTTTCCTTGTCGTATGCTGAATATACTTCCCCGTAAGTACCTTCACCTATAAGTTCCTCCAAAACAAAACGATCTCCCGGATCCGGTATTATATCGAAGTTTACGTGTTGACTTAGACCATGATACGCCATATTGGTCCCACCTCCGGTCATCTCTATGTAATTACAGATAAAAATAGGAATAGAAATAAAGGCAAAAGTTAAATACAAAAAGAAAGACAAATAAAGATTTATAATAATTTTTGATCATTTTTATTCTATGATTTGATCAATGTATTTTCTATCTTAATTTTATATTCTGTGATATAATAATAATAACATTTAATAAACAAGGTGTTCTTCTCTCGTTCGAATAAACCCAACCCCCGATCATGCGAATTTTTGCTGTTAATAATTTTTTTCATATTTATACTTTTCGTTAAATATTTGTCATCGAATATTTCATCAGAGTTAAGAGAACGTAATATAATGTTCGATAAAAAGAAAAAAAGAAAGAAATATAATTTCATATACTCTTTTATATATTCTCGACGTAGTAATATATTATCAAAAAAAAAAAAAACTAAATAAAAATAAAACAAAATCATCGGAACAGTTGACCTAATTATACACCGTGACAGCTTTCAACCTTCGAAGTTAATTCGTTACCGTATAAAGATCTTATCTATTTTCGTTATTAACATATTTTTCGTTAGTGTGTCATTTTGAAAAATAACTCTCGATGAAAGACGAATAAGAAATTCATCTTAGGTCCCTCGCGTTCGAATGATTAAAATTCGAAAATAATAATACATTACATTAATTACAATTGTTGAATATTATTTCAACAATTATAAAAAATATTATGTTCTTTTTTTTTTTTATACCAACCGATTATGTCGCCCATTTTTACAACGAGGGTTTGACGTATTCACAAAAAAAGTAAAAAACAAAAAAAAAAAAAATAAGGGAGAGAAATAAAGGGGGAAAACGAGAAGAGTGAGAAGAAGAGGCGAAAAGGAAAAAAAGAAAATGAAACAAAACAAAACAAGACAATTTGAATATATCAATGAAATAAAATAGAATATAGTGTTAAAACACACTGTGTTAGTTTTGCTGAACACAAAATACGACTGGGGAAAGTCTTTCGTTCTCTAACCAGATAGATACCTGTTAGTCCCTTAATGAGATTAGATTTTATAAGACCGGCGCACTTCTACGTGGCCCTCAGAAATAGGTCTTGCGAAAAGAGGATGGATGGTGTCACGTGTCGATCCACCTCTTGTTCTACATCTACTTTTTCTACTTATTTTACAATTTTCTTTTCTATTTTCTTTATCAAAATTAATTTTGATATTTCATTTATTTCTTTATAATTCGTTTTTGAATGAATCATAGTTTTACGTATGTTTTAATTTAAATGACACGTTAAAATTTAAATCACATCAATTTCTACAAGAATCACATAGAAATCATCATATTGTTATTATATATATATTTCTTTCTTCGTTAAATTAAATTCATATTATAATGATAATAGAATTATTTATCTGTTAATCGATATATCTATATATTAATATATTGTATAATATAAATAATATATTTTTGTCATATCATTTTTCCGAATGAATATAATAATCATTTCTCTCTTATATAAACACTTCTAATGATAATATTCGTTTTTAGATTAAATCTATTTATATATTTAGCCTATATATATATATATATATATATAGATATATTTATTTTTAGTATTTCATTAACCACAAATATATTCTACGCCATTGTACGAAACCATACAAGAGTCTCGAAGCCAATCGTGGTTTCGCACGACATTTTCGTTATACGGAATTGGACGAGACATTTATAGATCAAAATTAAATCTAACATTCGTGCTATATCTCATTTACAATTTTCAAATTATAATGTAACACCAAAATATTAAATTCAATCTTATATTTGCGTAAAGGTGACAATGAACTTGTTCGTTTCTATTTTTCTTTGATAACAAACACACGTTAAATTATCCTAAACGAATTATACCAATCAATGATCGATGATAATGAAATGAAATTGATTTTAAATTCAAAATTTAACGTATTGAAAGATTATTTATATTTATTATATGTAAGCATGTTTTATACAGTGATATATATATATATATATATTCTACTTGTAATTGTTCATTTATTTTGTTCTCTATTTGTTTAATTTTTAAACAAAATCTAAAATAACAATGCTATGTGCAAAATCATAATCGACAACCTATTATTTTATAGAAAATTAATTTCAAAGTCAATATTATCATGAAAACATAATACGTCAAATTTCGTTAAAATTAAAACAAACGAATATAATTTATCATTTTAAAAGATATATGATTATTTATTATATTATAATAAATTCTAAGAAGCCATATTGATAAGCATTTTAAATCTAATACGTATATTACCCCTTTCTTCCATTGAATTTATCGTAACGATATAGAAAATGATGCTAGAGGTTTCACGTTCATCGCATTTTCCAACCAACGAATTCAATCGCGTAAAGTTAATCTTACTTGATCCTTGACGTTAGAGAAAACTATGACGAATAAATTTTGCATAGAGTCGAAGGCATTTAAATCGTTTTACTATTTTAAGCGTTCGAGAAAGCGTTAAAGATTAGGTACACAACGCGTGTATATAGAATTAATTTTAAAGACAGAATCTTTTTACATATGCACAATTTTTCTTTCTTTCTTTCAACACTAGAAAAGATATAAATACAAAATAAAAGAAAAAGAAAAAGAAAATAATTCTTTCATTCTAATACAAAGAGTCTATTAAAAAGTAGTTCAACATTTAAGAAAGTATTTTCCTATGTTATTACCATAAGAACACGTTATACCAACTAAACGTACATAGGATCGATGATCTATGAGACGTCAAGGTTCGTCGACTCCGTTAGGTTTTCTAACTTTAAMAAAAAAAAAAAATAAAGAAAAAAAACGAACAAATATCAAAAACATTCATATTTCTTTTCAATTGAAAAATAAACCAAAAAAAAATAAAATAAAATAAAAACACTCGCATATCAAATCTATAATATTTACCATTATCGAGAAAAGTTCTCATGCGAAACGATTGATCTTGATCTTATACTACCAATACCACTCCCCCTCCTCCTCCCCTCCCCTCCTCACTTTATCTATTCGATTGCAAGCAAGACTATGTAAAAATATAAATCGTTGAATCTTCGATCGATTTTAACATAGTTGAAATGCTCGAGAGAATTCTCAACCTTATAATTTAAACAAAGAAATAAATCAAAATAATGACAAAAATCTAACTTCACGGATCGATAAACCTTTACCTCCCCCTTGCCTCCCCCCCTCCTCCCTCATCCCTTCTTCTAAGGTGTTCAACGAATATCGATCACGTGTTCATGGAGGTATTAGAGCGAAGAAACCCAACGTGAAATCGGCTTAAAGATCCAACTGCAAAGTAATGTCTTTCTTTCTTTCTTTCTTTCTTTCTTCCTTTCCTTTTTTTTTCCCTTTCTATCTCTTTCTCGCACGATAAAAAACATTAGACCATTCGTTAATATTATTTCTATGATATTTTTTACTATTATGATAAGATTTTAAATAATAAATTGAAACAGGTTTTTCCTTTTGGTGTTCATTTCTTTGTAAATAATAATAATTATAATCAAATAATAAATTTGTGATATATGTTATTATAATATATTACGTATAAATGATAAATTTGTATTATTATGATCGTTATAAATGAATTCTAATTTTTATTAATGTCTTTTATGTAAATAATACAAAATTAATGGTTAAATATATTACGATAAACGTGTTGACAATGATCACGATGACAATTTGAATACTTCTTTATGCGTAATTATTCGCGATATTTTCTTTTTAAATTAGCATACAGATAATTAACAATTTTAATTTTAATATTTATTATAATAATAAAAAAGAGATATAAGAGTGAAAAATATTTATAAACCGTACGTCTAGGTATTCAAATATTTTCAACATTTTGAAATTTACGAGAATATATTATAATTTTCATTATAAATTAAATGCAATTTTGAAATAATAAATAATAATCAAACATTACTATTTCTATGTGATAATTATATTCATATAAATCACAAATAACTAATTTTAATTAAACCTATTTATTAATCCCCATATTTTAGAAACGTATATATATATATATATATAAAAAGAGACAAGCGTATGTAAATACATGCAAATATATTATAAGAAAAGAAAAAACAATTTAACGAAAAGAAAATAATCAAAAGTTTAGTCACCCCTATTGGTAGAGAACGTGATTTGAAACGTGAAAAAACTTTCACACCTTGTAGCAATCTTTCGAGCAATTTTTTCAAGTAATGATATATAATGTACATATATTATGTATAATAAATGACGTATAGTTTAACCAAACGGAATATCTTCGAACACGATCCTATGACGAACTGAATGAATCTAAATAATAATCTGAACACATGGGTTTCTCGATCATCTAATTTCGTTTATTCGATCCTTTCAGCGTGACGTTGTAACGGTACGATGCATGCTATCAATGACCACAAAGCCGCACCCCTTTTTCAATGATTATATTTCTTTTTTTTTTTTTTTTCCCTTTCTCTATTTATTATTTCTCTTTCGATGCATGTATTATATTATTATAAAATGCAAGGCAAAAGAAAAAAAGAAAGAAAGAAAGAAAAAGAACTTTTAATTAGAAAGAATTTTTGCATTAATTTATATTCTCTCACTAGTGTGTGAAAGTTCATTAGCATACTAAATGCGACATAATTAATGTATAGCAATATTATTAATATATGTATATTTGCATTTAAATCATAAATTAGAAAAGTCATTATATTGAAAATAAATATTTATCTGTCTGTTTATATCGATGGGAATACAATTTATTTTCATTTTTTCCTTTCTCTATATTCTCGTTGACAAAAATATCTATTTATTAATTATTATCTATATTATATCTCCTATTGTTAATATATATATATATAGGAAAGAAAGAAAAACATGAATTAAAATGAATAATGTATCATATAATACGACACGTTATTTCATTAAAAATAATATGTTTTGTTAGTTGTTTTAGATATGAGATACTGATAATTTGAATATTACTCATACTGTCAAAGATATATATCTGTAAACAGGTGAGGTCCTTCAAAGGTATTTGGGTATAGTAAGTATTTGCACCTGCGACTTCGTAGAAGTGTGTTAATGCCATGATAATACGAAGCCCTACTTTCCAACCTTTGACCGTTGCTGGCCATTCTGCTGACCGCTTTCATTCTCGTTATGGTCGAATGTTCCTATTTCAATTGTTTATCTCGTCGTTAAATCTTTTCTACACAAAACTATATATATATATATATATATTAATGTATGACTCATAAACTGTTTTAGCAATGAGTTAAATTCCAAATAAAATATTTTAAAAAATACACCACAATAAAAACATTTAATTCTTATATATTTATAGTAAGAGAACAAAAAGTATATTGTTTAAATAACTTACACACATACATACATTATTAGATAATTATATTAAACATATATTTTAAGTTCTGTTCTATTAGAAAGAAAATATTTAATAAATGACAATATTCAATACGAGTAGGTAATTTTGAGATTGTGTTTTTTTTATTTTTAGCAAATATTTTAAATATTAAAAATGTTTGTAATAATAATTTACTAAATTTTATATCATATTTTCTTCACTGTTTACAAGTTCATTATTTTTTTGTATTTCATTAAGATTTTACATATCAATTTTCTTTTCAATGTAATACGAATTAATTTACAAAAATTGAGTTAATATTTTTCTTGTTTTTTTTTTTGTCAAATTCATAGTTCACTAAAACTTTCCTAGAAGATCACAGGTTTGTTATTATTAAATGCACGAAGTATTCGATTAATAAACTTTAATTGTATATTTCTCGTTAATTATCTTTGTAATTAGTGTCGAGTAACTCTTTTCATTACTTTTGTTTCTTTATTTTTTTTTTTTTTTTCACCATCTTTTACTTTTCATTCGAGATAAATAATTTCAAAGAAAGGACAAATAAAATATCGTATT